AATTTTTTAAAATTGTATTAATGTAACACTCCACGCCACTAGTAAGATGTTGTTCATTTTGGCCCACGAGCCTCATAGATTTGTTTTTGGCAATCTCGCATGACTTCAAAATACGTCTTACTAGTCAAGGTAAACATACTTATATAAGGCCTTCCTCTAAGTCCTTACTCGCTGATGTGAGATATTACAATCCACCTCCCTTAAGGAGCTTGACAACCCCATTAGCACCATCAGACAAGTAGTGAGCTGAGCTCTGATACCAATATAACAACCAACCCAATAGTAAGATATTGTTTACTTTAGCCCATGGACCTTACAAATTTGTTCTTGATAGTAATGCATGGCTTCAAAACGCGTCTTACTAGTCAAGGTGAACATGCTCAGATAAGGCCCTCCCCCAAGTCCTCACTTGTCGATATGGGATGTTACAATTAAAACCTTGATGACCAAATGGTCACGGGTTCAAATATTACTATCTCTATTTATTTGATAAAAATCAAGTACAAAGTGGTGTGAGCCTATGTAAGTTTCAAGTTCAAAGGGTTTTTATTTGAAGGGATGTATTAAAAAATAATATAAATCATATCTTGGGACCTCACCTATGTCAATGTTTTTCCAATTTTACATAATATGCCTTGTCTTCGCATGGTGAAAGACATGTTTTTAGATTTGGTCCATTAACTTGAGTTAACTCTAGTAATTTTTTTAATATTTTTAATTAATTGTTTTTTTAGTTTCATCATTCAATATTGAGTTGATTGTAAATTAAGCTTCATAATTCATTTTAATTTTTTTTATGCAGTTATCTCAGTCTTATAACTCAAGTTTAACAAGTTAAATCGGGTTGATTCAACTTATTTTTTCAATTGAATTTTATTTTCAATTACTTCCTGAAATATTTGTTTGATTAAGAATTATATATATATATATATAGTTATCGGAGTCTCATGCCCTGGGTTTGAAATTTATAGGTTAACTTAAGTTAATCCCAATAAATACAATACATTGTCGTCTTAATATTTTTTTTTAAAAGTTGTTGTTTTGATTTTTTTAATCAAATTATATTTGTACTAGTCGTTAAAGTTATTTTTTAACTTATAAAATAAATTATGGCCCTATTTTCAAAAAAACTTTTAAAAAAATTAAAAATTTATATTTTTTTACTTGAAATTAATTTTTTTTCATATTATTTTGATGTGCTGATGTCAAAAATAATTTTTAAAAATAAAAATAAAAATAATTATATATATAGTTATCGGAGTCTCATGCCATGGGTTTAAAATTTGGTAGGTTAACTTATGTTAATCCCAATAAATACAATACATTGTCGTCTTAATATTTTTTTTAAAAGTTGTTGTTTTGATTTTTTTTAATCAAATTATATTTTTACTAGTCGTTAAAGTTATTTTTTAACTTATAAAATAAATTATGGCCCTATTTGTTTTTGTGTTTCAAAAATGCTTTTAAATAAATTTAAAAATTTATATTTTTTTACTTGAAATTAATTTTGTTTTCATATTTTCATATTATTTTGATCCATTGTAGAGTGAAAAACTTTTTAAAAAGCAACCACTACCTCACTCATAAACATCCTGTACATCATTTCAAATTAACCTCCATATAAATGGGATGGTCGAATAGGTAGAGAATTTAAGGGGAACAAGGGATTGGAGCGGGGAATTAACAAGAAAATTTGAGAATTCAAGGTTAGGATTAATATTTACAAATTGAGAATGAGAGTTTGTAGTTTTTTATAACATTATTATTCTAAAGCTAAAAGGTTTTCATTGTATTAATTTTTATTATGTATTCTCTCAATTATTGTGAATTGAAAAAGTTAATTTTGTTAAAAAAATTAATTTGGTCCTCAGGCATTTTTTACAGAATTAATCCTTTTTTAGCCTAAATTTGCACCTAATTGCATATTTGTTTTTAGGATGAAAAGTTGGATTGGAAGTTATAGGACCAAAGTGAAAATGACAGGTAATATAGATTGAGACTTTGAATTTCATACCAAAAAAAAATTAATTTAGTCCTATAATTTTTTTTTGTTCCTTTTAGTTTTTAGATATTCAATTTTGGTACCAAAGTTCATTTTCTTTATTTTTTATTTTTTTTGTTAGAAGAGAGAGGTACATTATGTAAATTCTAATTTAAAGAGAGAAAATTATCATTTATACCTATTTTGACCACCATAATGATTGAAATTGGTGTCAATAAGTTATATTTGATGAGGAGCATCTTATAGTGATTGTTTTAAGCCTTAATTTTGCCTCATAAAACAAATCTAAGTCGAGTAACAAAAAAATTATTCAGTTTTGATTTTGTGATTTAAGGTTTTTTTTTTTTGGTTTCATGTGTTGTTAAATTAGTTTTTACATATTCTATGACTTGTTTGTTTGGCTTCAAATTGGTTGAAAAATAGGTTCAACAAGTTAAAAATCCATAGCCTTGATTTTTTAGCCACTATAATGGTAGCCAAAATCTAGGTTGGGAGATGACACATCATCAGCTTTGACGGGCAACATGTCATCTTTGTTTTAAAAGAATGAAATAAAAAGAAATAGACAATATGTCATCTGCCGCTTCAGATAAATAAATAAAATAGCAAGCTCGAGAGCGTATGCCCTTGGCTAAAAGGCCTATGTGCCTAAGTTTTTCTTTTCCAAACACTAAGGCTAGAAACTCTTTTCCAAAGATGAAGGCCAGCTTTGCTAGCTTTTTTTTTTTTTGCCTTAGTTTTAGATACAATTTTTTTTTCAATCTAATTAGTTTAATAACTCAGATCACAAGTTTGATAAGTTAAGTCAAAATATCTAATTGTTTTTTTAATGAACTTTTAGTACCTCAATTTAAATAAAATAATGTAATTTCATCATTTATAATTGATGACATATTTTTTTAATTAATTTAAAATTTTAAAAAATATCCTTTCACTCTTTGTTATCAATGATTTGCTTTTGCTATCTCAATCCCTTGTGTTTGTCATGTTTTTTTCTTTTTAAAAAAAATTTCATTAGAAAATATCACATTCATTTTATTGTTATAAAAATCTATCAAATGAAAAATAATCTATAAAATAAGAAATTTATTGAATCTAATGATGTGCATAACTTGCATCGAGAGTTTGATTTGTTGTCAGTGATGTACCTTTGCTATATTGGCTCCATATGTCTATCATGATTTTCTTACTTCTAAAAAATATATTTTTTTTCATACAAAAAAATATCATGCACTTTATTATCGTGTAATTAAATGAAAAATAATCTCCGAGATAAAAAATTTATTGAATCTGGTGACATGTATAACTTTCGTCGTAGACTTGCTTGATTGACTCAAGTTCATCTTTTTTTTAATCAAATGTTGTTTTTCATTGATTTTATCATTTAACACCGAGTTAATTCAGAATTAAACTTTGTATTTTTCTTTTCAAGATTATCTCTATAAGTTTTGTCAGTCAACCCAAGTTATTTAAAATGGATTAAATGTTTTTCTATCTCAATATTAGATCGAAATATCAATGTCTATACTTATTTTAGAACCAAGTTTTTTTAGAAAACATGTTATCAATACCTTTTTTTTTTTTTCTGTAGCATAACACAAAACAATGAGATAGTGTTATGTATTATACATGTGAGGATAAATTAATTTTTTTCATTTAAGTTTAAAAGTCATGTTGATTGAGGAAGTAAAATAAAAAATGATTAAACTATAGAAAAGTCCATGGTAAAAGTATTGTAAAAATGGCTTCATCTCACTTTATGATATTTTTGTTTGCTTAAATATAATTTTTATTTTTATTTTTTTAATTTTCAATCTTTTAAATTTAGTTGATTAGAATTAGGCTTTCTATTTCATTATATTTTGGGTTTCACGTGATTATCACAATCTTATATTGAAGACCGCGAGTTAACCATAATTGACTTAATCTAGCTAATATAATGTTGTTTTAATATATTATCATCTTAATGTTATATTTAAAAAATATTCCATCTAGTATGTTTTAATTTTTTACTTCCTAGTGCTTTTAGAATTTTTTAAAGATTAGAAATAATTTATTTGACTTTTGCGTGGTGTGAATAAAAAATCTAAGTATATAGTAAATAAGTTATAAAAAACATTGCCTTTATTGAAAATGAATAATGTAAAAAGATTAGAATATGTTTATTTATTGAAAAATAATTTTCATAAAAATAAATTATTTTTTGATATACATTAGTTTCATGAAAATTAAGATGAAAAATAACTTATTAATATTTTATTTTATTTTTAAGTTTATTAAAAAAATAAAGACCAGATTTGATAAATAAAAAAATTAAAGGAAAATGAAATTGAAAAGATTTCTCTAATTCCATAAATTATTTTCAATATTACATATAGAAATAAAAAAAAATGGATATAAAATATGATGGATAAAAAATATTAAAAAAAAAATGAAAAAAAAAAAACCAATTTTATAAATTATTTTAAAAAATAAATTGTAATTAAAAGAATAAGAACTAAATCTAAAAGATAAAAAATCTCCATTAAAAAAAAGATATAAGAAAAACAAACAACAACAAAAAAATAATTACAAAAATTGATATAAAAATCAAATTAAATCAAGTTTTAAAAAATAAAATTAAAAAAATATTAAAAATTCAAAAAAAATATAAGAATCAAAATATTGAAGACTAAATTTTACATAATAAATAAATAATAAGATATTTTTATAATTTTTTTAAAAAATTTCAATAAAAAATAAAATTAAAATACTTTTTATATATAAAAAATTTAAAAAATAGTTTATGAAACCACTTTTTATTATGTTGTTTATTTATGTTGTTGGAAAATATTTTTGTAAAAATAATTTTATTTTGATATTTTATAGTTGATATGCTATATAATAAATAAATTTTAAAAAATATTATTTCAATATATTTTATAATAAAAAATAAAAAATATTTTAAACGTGCTCTGAACAAACGGTGCTGAAGGGAAATTCGTAAGCGCTAACAACGTTGAAAGTTAGTTGTTACCAAACGGACAAACCGAAGTAAAAGCCCAGCCTGAATAGATGGTGCCGAAAACCGTCAATTCCACTCTCAAAAATCGAACTGCCTAGATCTACCAAAATTTCATTTTCTTGAACCGCTCAGTTTGATCCTTCACTATGTGGCGTTCGCTTTGGCGATCCATCGATCGCTTCTCTCTGCAATACTTCAAGTAACTCTTCTTGTTTTATTCAGTTTAATTTCAATTTTATGTGGCCAATTTGGAAATGCTGTAATGTTTTTGTTATTAAGAGTTCCTTTTTATCATCCTCATAATTTAGGGTTTTTGTTTATGATTGTGTTTATTAATTGTATAAAAGAAATTTCATTTTTTTTATAATTTCTAGGCCAACCGGAGAATTAAGTTATTTTGTTTGGAGATCATTGATAGAATTTGTATTTGGTGTATTATTCATAAGTTAAGAAGTTAGGCTGAAAAAGGAAAACTGGGTTTTAGAAGTTAGAAAGATTGTTTGATGCGTGCGTGCGTGCGTGTGTGTGTAAGGGAGGGAGGGAGGGAGGGGCAAAGTGTATGTAAGGGAGGGAGGGAGGGAGGGGCAAAAATGCTTTTTTTTTTTTTTTTTCTTTTTGTGTGTGTGTTTAGCAAAACTGAAAGGGGTTTTTGATTTTATAACTTACGATGACATGACTGCTTCATTTGTAATTACCTGAGGATGCCCTTGTTCCCATAGTTTCTACTTGTTGTCAATTTGTTATTGATATTTGAATAATTTTTTGAATGCAGACATGTAATTCATGAATTGCAGAAGATCAAAGTTGTAGATATGCACAACAGGGTGAGTAAAATCGACCTACCTCTGTGTAATTTCTAGGTAGGAGCTGTTATCACTCTGTTTGATACACTACACTTTTATAAAGGGAGAAGTTGACTGCCGTCAACACTTGATAGAGTGCTAATAGCTCCTCCTGATTCTCGGAGATAGATTTGTGTAATCCTTGAAATCTTTTTCTTAACATCAACTTGTCATTCTTGTTTTTCACTTTCAGGAATTAGTTGTGGATCTCCTGCAGTCTATAGTAGAGATAGTTACATATGGCGACAGACAAGATTCTCAGATTTTTGAGTACAAAATTCTTGGACACATCCTTCTCTGTATTGTGTTTGATTTTGGTTATATTCAAGGATTTATTTTTTCGGGTTTCTGCAGGTGTTTTATGGAACACCAGGTTTTGGCGGAGTTTGTTCGTGTACTAAAAATTAGTAAAAATTCAAGAATCGAGGCACCATTGCTACAGTATCTAAGTATAATGATTCAAAACATGGATAGCGAATATGCAATCTGTAAGAGCTAATTCTCATTCATTTTGTATTTCTAGAATGTGTAGCACATGAAATCGTTATTTGTCCATCCCTCCTCAGTGTTTTTTATGTTTCATGTATTCATTTCAATGATGGAGAACAGGCTTGAATTTCTTCCTTATTGCTGAAACAAGTTTAGTGATTCATTTGGTGATTCTATAATGCAGACTACTGTTTAAGCAATGACTATGTCAACAATATTATAACACATCCGTACAAATTTGATGGTGGAGATCTAGCTCAATATTATATATCTTTCCTAAGGTTGTGAATCTCTCTCTCTCTCTCTCTCAAACACACACACACACACACAAAACCTCTTTAACATTGGGACTTTCTTTGGCATTTTCTTAAGTTTTGGGTACTCTGTGGTTTGAATTTATCAATAAAAATGGTGGTACATTTTTTCTAACCCCTTTCTGTGACCTATTTTTGAAATTATTTTATTAAATCAGATCAGTGAGCAACAAAATAAATGGAGACACTCTTTGCCTTCTTGTAAAGGTTCATGGGGTAAAAGTTCACCACCTATTCTTTCTATTTTCTTGCATTATTTGTTTCTACAGCCTCTGATTTATGAGTGGAATGCTGCTTCCAAACAGCCATAGTGTCAACAAGCACATATTTGTTTCTTTATGAAGACTTGAGAAAAAAATTAAGAGGTCAAAGTCTTTCATAAGTTCCCTTTGTGTAATGTTATGCTAAAAAAATCAAATTAGAAAATTGGTTTAATTAAAAACTACAGCTAAAATAGTTTCGCTTCCCAGTCTCCTTTGTTATATACTTGTCAGTTAAGGATGGTGTGTGTGGTTGATATGATGTTCTATGAAATATCAGGGGTCATCATTTTGATTAAATTGAAGGTTTATGATTCATTTTTCCCCTTTGTCATAATAAATAAATGATAGACTCAGGTCCATGGGCTGAATTCACTTAGCAGAAGAGCAGGGGTTGAAACATGCACATGTACATTTTAATTGGAACCAGAATGTATTGGAGCTGCTATCAGATTTTCCAGCACTCTGGCTTGCATGCATTCAACATTATTGTGTTTTTGTACCAATAAGATTTACTTTTTGCGAGGCCTGACCTAAGTCTATCTATTATGTATTTATCCTCCTGCAGGATGCTGTTGTCTCTTTCCCCCTATACAGTGAGGCTCTTAAATTTGCTCAGCACGGGGAAAAGATGATTCAGACTGCTATACGTGCATTGACTCTCAATATATATAATGGTATTTTATTATTATCTTTGTTTCCTTATGAATGTTGAATAGGTCATTGATAGCTTGCAACATTATTCTTTTGGTTTTGCAGTTAGTGATGATACGGTTTATCAGTTCATAACAACTCCTCCAGTTTCAAGTTACTTCTCAGATTTGATTCATAGCTTGAAAGAGCAATTTACCCATCTAGACAACCTTGTCCATGCTTTAGAGTATGTTCCTTCTATTTCTCAGGAATATTATATCATTTGAACAATCCTACTCTGTTAGCTGTTTAGAACTATCTATATGAAGAATGTTTCCCTTTTATGCAGGGAGATGGGCATTAATCAAAGAAGAAAGGAGCTACTGTTAAAAACTGATAGAATTGTTGATGATCTGTACTACTTAAAGGATATTCTTTGTGTTGGCGAAACTCGTTTGAGTAAAGTGGTCATGCAGAATGTTCTTAACTTGCTCCTCTTTCCTATATTACATCCTTTGCTTCATTCAAGGCAGAGTGATGTAAGATGTCTTTCCTCTTAATTCCTTAGGACTATTTTTTTTTTAATTTTATCAAACAATTTGTGATATCTTTTAAGATCGTGTTTTCTTGTGTGTCAGTCTATGTTTGCATGCTTGTGTTTCTTTAAGCCTGCAATTCATCAGAAAGCATGCTCAAATGTGCTTTCAGATTTGCAGTCTGATGAAAATACCTTAGGCAAAGAACACTTGCATATTCTTTCTCATTATTTGTCATCTGCATTACTGCAATGAATGTTGAGGCTAAAGTCTCTTAGAAAGAACTTCCACATGTTCACATCTCCATTGCATCCTTTCTTTGGTTCACTCTTTCAAGTTCCTCTCTCTGTTTCACTGATAGTCTGACTGGTTGAAGTACTTAGCTTTGCCTTCATGTTTACTTAGAATCTTGACTGTGTCTTTTCTCATTTACCTTATATCTCCACTAGAACCAGGTACCTATTGAACTATAAGAACCCAAATCATCGCACTGTAATCTTATGCATTGTAACTTTTTGTCTGAAGCTTTTATGCATCAAGTAACACATTGTTTTTGTTTTAGGGTTCAAATCTATCTCCAATCACTTCTCTGTATATGGTTTCTTGTCTTATTCAAGTCATTGGTGGAAAAAGTATTGTTAACTATGTGGCTGGAGTTCTTCTATACCCTTATATGTCCTTAAGTGTGAGAGATGCTTGGGAAGCGTGTTTGAGCAGTGCTTTTTTCAGTGATTTTAATGATATGGAAAAATCATCATGTTCTACCGAGTCTGAAGGTGCTGAAAGTGTCAATGGGAGTCCTCTTCACAGGCATTTGCCAGAGTATGTATCATCTGTATCATCTTGTAAGCTTCTCTGTTGATGATCCTATATGACCACAAAGGTTAACAGAAGTAACACCATATGGATTTTGCTTCACTGATGCAAATAAGAGAGAATTTTGTATTGCTAAGATAGAGATGTTTTATACCAAGTGTAGGTTCCAATTACCTATGTTCTCTTGCACTTGATAACTTTCAATGGGATCATTGAATCCTGGCTCCTTCTTGAGACTAAACTTAAATGGAATTTTGGCTAGATTTTAGCTGTTGGATATAAGACATTGTACAGCATGATACCTGGAAATTTAGGTTGCTCATGTAGCTGGATATGACGTCTAAGGCATGTTGAATTCACGAGCTATGTTTGACAACTAGATGAAATAATTTTTGTTCTGTATTATGATCTTTGCAATCATGTGTACCATTGTACTCACCACAATTTTTTTTCCAATTGCAGAGGCAGTATACTAGATTTTATTTTGTCTGACAATCACAGCCTCTCACTTGCGTCTCTGTTTTTATTACTTACTTTAGCAGAAAGTAAAGGTATCTTATATTTTCTGCTTCTTAAATTATGCGGACTAAAGATAGAGCATAATGGATCAACATCATTGTTTATTTGTCCTTCTACTATTCTGTTGTCTTCTCAGATCTTGCGGATTTACTGGCTTCAATGGTTAGCCTGAGTGCAATGCAGCATGGTATGGTAAATATCAACAAAAATGGATCTTTTTTATGTTCTTTCTGGTACTAGAGATGCCCATATGTGGTCCCCTTTGATTTCTGTTCCATTTCTTCATCCTTCCCTCTCTTCAACTAATGTGTATTTAGATATTTGAAAAATTGTTTCTTTTTGTCTTGAGATGCATGATCACCATGCACAGTAACCAGTGCAGCAGAGGTGTGTCATTTTTGTGTGCTGTAGTCATGTGTTTGCGGGATGGGGGAGGACTTGAGATCACAACTTGAGTCCCTGACTAGATAAAGTGGTTTGCTATACAAATTCTGTAGCGCCATTGTTTTTTGAACATGTCTATTTTAAACATTCAGTTCCAGTGAGGGTAGCTGGCTTTGTGCTTTTAGGGTTCAGTGAAACTTTCATGCTTTCTGTCTTGCCATCCAATCAAACACTTACATCTACCTGGGTATTTGACTTACTGTAATGTGTTAATACTTCTCCCAGCCACCATTTGACTCAATGCATCCTTGAAAAACATTTTGGATGTGATTAATTTTTTCTTGGCTTCTGAGACAGGAAGAACAGCTCCTCATCACACAAATTACTAGAAATATGGAAGCTGGCATTGAGGTCTGATACCAACAGCAATGCTTAACCAATGAATTTAATAATTCATTGAGAAAAAAGAGAGATCATTAAATTAAACATGACCATTTGTCAACAGTTTGTCTGGTCTTTAATCTATATTATTGAAAAAATCAATTTTAGAATTAATACATCTCAGCTTTACAGGTAATGGAGGAAAGTATACTCGTGAAGTTTATGCCTCAGGTATATTTACAATGATGTAGTTGTTTCCTTAAAACTTCCATTTTAGGCCTGAATAAGATGTATGCTCTATGCTCTACACGACCCTTTATGCTATCCACCTGATTAATATCTAATCATTTATAGCTTGGTGCTGTTTGACTTTCATTTTCATCATGAACTTACCATCATTGCTATCTTATTATTATTATTGTTTTTTTTTTTTTCAAATTCTTCAGATTTTAAATGCATTATTGAATGTTTTAGCAAGCGAACCACCAACCACTGTGCAAATAAAGTGGCATACTGGATGGTTCTTGCGAAAGCTACTGGTTTTTCAAGGAATCAGGCTTGATGAACACAATTTCCATCTATTTAATGTAAGAAGACTGAATTATGAATTACCTCAAATACATAGCAATGTATTATCCTCCTTTACTGTTATCCATTCTTGAATTTATTCTTGTGCTTATTGAAAGGGTAACATCCTCTTACCTTACAATAAGTGTTTCTTGGAGTTTCTTTATAATCATGTCTCAAACTTTCTAAAGTTTTATATCTTCTAGTTCTCATTAACAGACCTCATTTGAGCGGTCCTGCATATGTGTCGAGAAAGAACTTGATGGATGCTGGTTTGATCATATCATGGACGTGTTGAGAAATGAATGGGCAAGCTGTAAAACAGGTAGCTGTATGTTAATTTGACAAGGGACAAGAGCTGCTTCATACAGCAGGGTTCATATGGGATGTGATAGTCTATTTTGGTGGAACTCATTTGATCTATTTTGATGGCCCATACAGCTCTTGAGGAATCATCACAATCCAAAGACCCCTTTTTCCTTCTAGATTTCACAATCTGCCAGGCCGCTGATGGTAAAATGCACTTTTGTGTTCCTTTTTTCTTTGGTTTGATTGAGAATTTTCATTTATATTTAGTTCTAATCCCATGCTTAAAGGGAAAATAAATTAATTTACACATTGCAGATGATGCAACCTCTTCCCATGTAGCTTGGCAAAGAATGGTGGATGTAGTGAAGGTTTTTAACATTTATTCTTATCAAATTCTTGGCAAGAGATGCTGCATTGCAACCTTTCTTCATGTTCTTGGGAATCTTTTGTGCAGCCTCTTCAAGTTCAGAGCTAGAACATTATGTTTTAGCCATGTGTTTAGCATGTTTTCCTCTGCTTTTACTCTAGCTTTCTGAACTTAAATGCTTTTATGTTTGACTTCAGTTTAGTTTCTGTCTGCTCAACAGTTTTGCGAGAGAAAAATCTCTATGACAAACATCTTTTGCTTTTTTTTGCTACCTTTTACTTTCTGTTTGCCTATTGAGCCCGTTTTGACATTTTGCAAGCATTGGGAAACTGTTTACATTTCCTCATAACTGTACATTTAACATTAAATTTTCTGGGATGTTGGAGACCACATAACAATAATACGTGCAGGTCTTCATTCTGCATCTTCAGTTGAAGGCTTTTATTTCCAAAGGAGAGTTTCTTGAGAAGTCCTCACTGGACTCCATAGTGGTACTTCCCTTCGATTCTGCGAAGAACCTAGCTTCAGGTCTTTCATCTGCTAGCTTTGGGTCGGAGGTTTCCTTAGGTTGGGAGTCATTAACCTTCCACTCCCCGTTCAACATATTCTCCAACGTGTCTTCATTTTTTCACTTGTGAAACATTTGCAGGCTCAGGAATCCCTTGCAGGATTGCCTTCTCAAATGCAGGAATCAGAGATATTTACCTGATACCTGTGGCAAGGGGAATATCTGGGAAATTGCTTCTTGTGGAGAAACATCCCTTCCGCAGTCAAAGAGGGGTTGTAATTGCCATTGCTCCATTGGCAGGATTGAGTGTAAGTCCAGACACTGTCAAACTTTAGTTCTGTAGGGCAAAATATTGCTGCGATGATAATGAACCTTGCATGGATGTTTAGAACTTGGTATGATTAGACTAATCAATGAAATTGCTTTGCGCTGTTGCCAACCAAGGCTGGTGTTGGCCTTCTCGATTGGCTTTGGCAAATACTTGTCTCATTGTTGAGCTAATTTCATTTAGACTGTTTGCCTAGATTGCCTTCATAACGATTAAGATTTCAGTGGACTGGAGTGATGCCACTCTTTAAGAGTAAATCTGTGACAAATTGAATGCAGGATGAGCAAGATGTAAACACTTTACTAGCTTTTTTCTGAAAATTGACACAGGCAGTTGTCATGATGTTAGTTGGGTTCTGGAAAGAACTATCTCTTCTTGGTCATGCTTCTTGTATCCGAGAGTTAAATGGTGTTAAAACACACTTTTCTAGAAAGTGTACAAGATCTTTTGTACTTTATTAAATCTCAGTATCATCCGAAGCTCTTCCATTAATCCACAAACATATTTCAATTTCTAATTGTGCATGTTTTGCAATAAAACACGTGTAAATTATTATATATGGTCTCTAACTTAGGCTTAACCTATGGATTTAATTTTGGATTTCTTTACGTAGAAATTTCCTTAATATAAACCATTTATATTGTTAGGTGTTAAAATTTACATTTCAAGAGTTTAAGGGAGATTCCAAATGTACATGAACTAAGGAGATACAAAGCTTTTCTTGCATGTTAACAACCAATTTACAACAGGGAAACTGGTTTTCTTGCGTGTTAACAACCAATTTACAACAGGGAAACTGGTTTTCGTGTGGTTTATGACTTGGAGTTAGGGAAGGAGATACAAGTTTTGACAGGGAGAATGAAAACCTTGAAGTTATTTTCAGTAAGTTTTGAATGAGTTGGGGTTGAAATTAGGACAGCATTAGCTCCCTTAGCTTTTTTTCTTATGATAGTTGTTGCAAGCTTCCTCTGAGTACTTATTTTCTTTACTCTGAAAAGCTTCATTATTTATTTCTTGACATCTACTGGATAGTCTCTTACCATCTTTACCTATGTGTCAGTTATTGCCATGTTTATGTTTCCATTATTAACTTCTGCATTTTGCCAGTTTTAAGATTTTTAACTTCTGAGCAAGTTAATCTGGTTACTGGTTTTAATTTCTCTGTTACCAACAATATATACTGCTGTGACTTTTTTCCCTACCTGACAGCCAAAGATAGACGAGGATCAGCCCACTTGGCTGCATCTCAGGATAAGAGAGTTTGAACCCAGAATAAACGGGGGTAAAAATAGAAGCTACAACACGAAGGCATTCAATCAAGTTGCAGCAGATGGGCGATGGACAATCGGTTTCCCAAATGCAAAAGCTTGTGACACTGCTCGATTGGCAATACTTGAGGAGGCTAGTAAGCAGAAATCCTCTGTTAGGAACGCACTTGGTCCCCTACTTGAGAATGATTATGGTGGAGGGTCTTCAGATTGTCAAGATGGGTGAGCTCTAGTGTGAGAGATTGTACAAGGCAGGTTAAACTGACAATCTCTCCTTTCTTTTATTTCTTTCATTTTTCCTTTCTCGTTTGACTATACATGGATGATCTGGATAGCAATAATGTACAATATTCTTCTGTGTAACTATTAGACCCGAAGCTTCAGAGTCTTCTGTTCTTTGTTTGTTAAAAAGAATATAGGGGCCACCTGATTAATGTGAGTTCTTGCGTTCTGCTTTTATTTCCGCCAAAATAGTTAATTTTTGCTTAAATTTATATCCTTTTGTTCTCATAACAGTCATTGATCTCAGTTTCTACTAGTCATACTTTGTCTATCATTGGCATGCGTTTGCATTCGCACATCCCTCTCTCTCTCTCTATATATATATCTCTGCTTCCATGAATATTGTGATCATGCGTGAACTGTGCTTGTTGACAATTAACCAGTGCAAAATTTATCGGGATCATTTGGATTTTAGCTTGACAGGTATTTGCAAGAAGTCAAATAGTTTAGCACGGTACTGGGCTAGTGAGTCAGTACTCCTGACCCTTTCCAGTGCATTTATCTCAAGTATACATGTATATGCATAGAATTGGTTTGGTGACATTACTCGAAGGGGACAATAGACTATATCCATGTCACGGGGTTATTCCTCGGTGTATAATTTACCAAATAGTGTCTAAGAACCTCATGAGGTAGGAAGTAGTTTCAATCTCAAGAAATTTTGGCATTTGCGTGCATGTGATCAAAGGGTAGGATGTTGAAATGCATTAGAAGATGAGGGAGCATATTGTAATTGTAATATTGGTGCTCGGATGTGAAATACAATGATGTGGCTGCGGATTGCAAAGAATCAACACCATCTTCTAATTATTTGGACGGCACTTTCAAACCCAGCTTCAAGCTCCTACCAAGTAACTCTTCCATAAAATTGTGAAACATAGTCCATTAAACTCAACCAAGGTAAGTTTCAGGGCCGATTATGATTCAAATGCTATAAATAGCTAGCTTTATTATTGATAAAATTCAAACCCAGCCGGCAGGTGATTAATAAAATCCCCGTCTTCATTAATATTGTGTAACGCGAATTATAGTTAGGATCTCCCTAGCTAGCCATCCTCAACATGACTGGTAATGAATCAAAGCTTCCCCGCATATGCTCGAGATTATGATATGAAAGTACAGAAGCTTGGGCAAAACTACCTATCAAGAGCAACCATTGATTAATATATAGCCAGAAAACCTACACCATTGGCTTCAATCTAGTGCATTGGATTTAGGCTAAATCTTCACCATGCCGGGCTTTCCAAGTTAATGAAACATCATTAGCTAGTGGTTTATATATATAAATATATATGGCAGATGCTAAGCATAAAGTAAGACTACGTAATATAAACATAAGATAATGCAAACTTTTAGGAAAAGGAGTGTGTGGTACGTTAATTCCATCACCTTTACATTAACAAGGCTGTCATGTCAAAATTAGAGCAACTTTTTCTCCATGAAACCTTTAAAGTATGGCCGCCCATTAGGGGAAAAAGAAAAAAACTATATATAAAAAAAAACTAAAAACTATGCTCTCCATCTCTCTCTCGGAGTTCTGTTCCTGCCTTGGATATTGCTTTCATCCACATGGCCACGTATTACTGCAAAGATGCTTATTTGAAGCTTAAAAGCATAAAATGAGCGACCCTTTTGAGTAGATAATGCCATATTTTACTTTTATTAATATATGCTTTATGACAGAGTGCTTTACTTTAAGCAAAAGAGAAAAGAAGCAAGTATAAGGGTCTCTAATGCAAGGTGTTCCCTCAAAAATTAAAGGTTTCGATGGTGAAAGAAGAGAAAAGATATCGCCCTAACTTTCACTTTGATAAACTTCTTTTGGTTTGCCCAAAACGTATATAGATTTAGCAAGAAGTAAACAGTTGTGAATGGCTTTTGTTACACTTATCATCCTTTATTTAAAACAAAGTTAACTGTTATTGGCGAGGGATAGAAAGGGTTATAAGCTAGCTAGGGTGTGTTCTAAGCAACTATAAATATTCCTTTCTTTCATTCAAACTCTCCTTTTATAGTATTGCCGTATGCTTTGTTGTTCAAATTATTTGGTGCGCTTAATATGTCTTTTTAGGCCAACAAAGAGAGACGCTTTTTGACTGGTGACCGTGAGACTCACTGAGTAAGAATAAACAGTCAGAAGTTTAGGTTATTTGTTATATATTAAGAATGGACTATTTGGGGTTCTTATACAGCTATATTCAAAAAGAAATTGGCTGCCTCATCATATTCCACACAGAGATTTCATTTTTATGCATGTTAGAGCTTCTCTTTAATGAATGATTGGTTCGATGGTTTTCAGTTTAAATCCTATTCTTGTCGTTCAAACGACAACAATAATAAAAAATTTCTATTCATGGTTTAGTTGGAAATACCTATACATAAACTGGTGTAGAATCTAAAAAAAACTTTGCTTGCTCGATATGTGATGGAACCCCCTAGTATTCCTGACCCAAGTATGGACACCATAGCTTCTAATATATTTGTTGACAAAAAGGGTAAGAAACAACAAAATATGAGAATATCTACAAGGAACCGTGTCGCATTTACAAAGGCAGTGGAATTTGAAACATTCCCAACGATGACAAACTCTAGTTATTTATTACTCGTGTCATTTCTTGTCCTGTCAAGTGAATGGTATTTCCTTCTTGCCAGTTCCTGGCCCTATAAATGAAACATAACGCTCTTCAATGATGGTTTGGAACTTGCTGGCTAGACTATAGTTCTTCATGCAAATGACCTTATAAAGATGCAGTACTAGTTTGCATCAGCATTAACTTTTATTATATGATTGTTATAAGTTAGATCACCCTCTCTTCCTCTTTCTGGACTTCTCAAACATTTTCTTTTTTGACCTACTTTTCTTGCAAGGAGACAATATATAGACTGAAAGTATTACCAGTACTAAACACTTATTTTCCAAGGGTATTTCTATGAAATGAAACAGGTAAAAGTCGAAGATGATTGAGGAATGAAAGGGAGATCTCTCGTTTTTCGTGTAAATAAAATATGTTTTGATTTGTTAATTTATATTTGAAATGCATGTTGTAGATATGGTGGGAGTAGTAGTGTAGCTCTCCTTTCTATGCGCAGGCACGCTAGCTAGGTGTAAGACCATGTAAACCTAACTCACCCGCGCAATCACCAACAGAGCAGGAAAATTAACCCAAGTTCATGTACACATTAATTCCTTTATTCTAAGATTATAAAATTTGGTCACCAGAAGATTTGCACTTTGTGCTTGATAACCATAAATCTTAATCAAACACCTATTATTTGTTATTGGTTATGTCTTAAAAGGAGGCTCTGAGATATTCTTTTTAGGTATATAAATTATTCTGAATCTGTTAATTGACTCTATATTACCGAATTCATATACAACATGCATGAAGTGAATCTCGTAGTGCGCGATATATTGTCATATAATCATATAATATATAGTAAGTTAGCTAGCTAGCTAGCTAGCTACCTAGGGCTATCTTCATCTTCTTTTTTTAATAGTCGAGGTGTTTTATTGCCAAGACCTGTCTAGCATTAAGACAATGACAATGATACACAAGTTAGAAAAAATGATTAAAGTTACATGTAAAAACATTGTTTCGAATAGATAAAGTAAGCAAAATATATACACCAAAGAACTGAAGTTGAAATTTTTTGTATCATCACTTATTTGTGCACTCCAAAATAATATTCTAGCTTTTAAATAGATCATTTTCGGTATATAAAAAATTTTCATCCATAACATTCAACTAATTAGACAAACCATAAAATAAGTTTAAATATTATAGTCCAAACCGACATGATATTCAAAAAATTAATTTGTTAATTTTTTGCACTTCAAATATTCCATAAAATAACATCGTAAGTGCTCTTCACTGTAACAAGACTTTAACAAGAGCACTCCATTGCAAAATAAATAAATTAAAAAATAAAGAAGGAAAGAAAGAAAGGAAAAAAAGAAAGAAAAAAGAAGAAAAGAAAGAAAGGAAAAAAAGAAAGAAAAAAAGAACCACTATATAGGATACGAGAGGGTGGTCCTTCAAGTCGAATTCATATTAGATTTAAAGGAAGTATATATCGTCAAAAGGGAATGGACAATTAGAAGAATAAACTCAGTACTGTAAGGTGGTGTTCGATACTGGATTAAAAAAAAGAGAGTGAATAATTATAAGAAGGTAAAAATTAGTTTTTCAATGATATTTAGTATATTAATAAAATTGAAGGGTAAATTATAAATAAAAATAAAGAAGAAAAAAAATAAAATTATTAGTAATAGTTGATGAGAGATAAATAAAAATTACTTGGTGTGAATATTGAAATAAAAAAATAATAATTAAATTATTAGCTTGTTTTCTTCCTTCACCATAAGTTGTACCATGCGCAAGTTTTTTGTTTTTTTAGGACAAGTACTCATGATCATTCATAGACAAATTAATACACGCACACACGGACGACATATATCTTCAAAATGGAACATGTTATTTCAGGAGGGGCGGCCGATCGCCCGTCTAGCTCCCCTAGGCTCCACCATCATGTTAAAGACGAAATGAAGAGACGTAGAAGAAATCTAACCAAACTCATCAAATATTGCCCTTAAACAGGATGAGATCACAAGTTTTTTTGCATTCATGATTTAGAGGGAGTTGAAAACTGTAA